GAGGTGCCAGCTGCTCCAGTCATCTCTGTCCAGTTGGTTATATACATTCCTGATGTTTTTGCCCAGTACATTACATTGCCTGAAATGATCCTGAATGATCTCAGTGCTGAGTGAAGACAAAAACCAGCTGCCAAATTCAGTATTGCCTTCCACACCCAACATGGAATCCGCCTGCGGGAAAAGCACTCCGTTAAAGAAAAACAGCTGTAGGAAAATAAGAGGCTCATACTAGATGGGAATCGGAGAGTCCTGCTGAGTTTCATGCTTAGATAAAAGGAAAATGCCCCTTTCCCACCCCCAACGCAGTCAGCCAGCATATGTATGTATGTAGACCTGGTGCTGGGGACTGTTTGGGGTTCTCGACCACAATTCCACTAGCTCTCTATTGAGGCTACTGAAGCCCCACCTCAGGAAGGAGCTACAATTCTCCGAGTAGGGCAGTGGTTCTCAAAGTGCGGTCCATGGACCACTAGTATTCCACGACCATCTTGCAAGTGGGCCGTGGGCTTGGGGCTCCCCTCCCTCCCCTCCACAGCAGGGAGCCTACACTGGTGCTCCAGCCCCATAGCCTCCTCCCCACGAGATAGAAGCACCTGTGCCAGCTTCTATCTGGGGGAGGGGGAGCCTTGCGGGCCAGATCCAGCTCGTGGCGGGAGGCGGAGCGGCTCTGCATGGAAACTGCTCGCCTGGAGACTTTCCTTGCTGCTCCCATTAGCCGGAATGTTGGCCAATGGGAGCAGCGGGGCACACAGAGCCAGGTTAGCGACCCGTTCCTCTCCTGCCCAAACCCAGCACCCCCACCCTGCTCCTGCACCCTCCATGCCACCCTGACCTCTCCCCATGCAACCTCCCTTAGCCTGCTCCTGCACCCATTTTATCATCATTGGTGATTGGCTGGTGGTCTGCAGAAAGGTCTGCGTTGAACAGGGTGGGTCGTGGGCCAAAACGTTTGAGAGCCACTGCAGTAGGGTAATGAAACAGGATCCTCTGGCCCTCGCGTATCTCTCCCCCAACCAGCCTCTGAGTCCTCTTTATCCCACCTACCCTGCTCTACTGTATGCAAGCATGCGGAGCTCCTCTGCTTACCAGAACTCCCCAACAAGCAGCAAAACCATGGCAGTCCCACTGCATCAAGGCCTCCTATGGCTCCTTTGCTGTGTCAATATCACCTTTCATGACTCTTCCTGAGAGTGAAGCAATGTAACACCAGGCAACCCTCTCTTTTTATAGTCACTGACTTGGATTGTACGCCCAGCACAGCACTGGCCTAAACGCACTGCATGCTCTGCTCATGTAGTATTCTGCTATCTGACCTAGATATATTTGCTTGTGTGTAAGCATATGGTTTGAGAAGACGCCGTATCAAGACATATTCCACCTTAACTCTTTTTCCTTTTGGTAAACATACATATTACAGTGCAGGTGTTAACTGACTTAGGGCGGAGACCTGATCCTTCCTGAATCAACATGCTGTGGAGCCTTGATTCATCCCAAATTGCCATGACAGAGTGATTAGCTTAACCACAGCACAATTCATTTAACTAGCTGCTGATCCTTTAAAATGTGTTGAATGTGTCTTAGCTCCCTCTCTCTCTCTCTCTCTCACTCACTCACTCACTCACACACACACACACACACACACATACTGAAATATATAAAGCAATTCTGTAGGGAAGGTGCTATATAAAGGTATCATTAGGCATAATTAGAAGGGACACATGGTGTATATCAGGACAGATTTGAAGAGGGACTTGGGACATACTCTTGGCTTTACTAAGACAAAATGGCTGGGAAATACAAAACTTAGCATGTATATATCTTATTCTTTTATATATTTGCTAATTCTCTTTACTTCATCGGGAGACATATAATTCTCTTGCAACACACTGAAGGATACAGTGCATACATTTAAACAGTCCAGGTGTTATTTTTAAAATGTGTCAAAGCTATATAAATAATACTAATCAAATGCTTATGAAGAATCCTATAATAACACACCCACATGCATATGTGATGCAGGAAAACAAAACAAAACTGGCTAACAATAGATGTGCATTGAAAGGTACCAAAGGATTATGTAAACAGTCATTTGTTTAGCATTTCTGTATTCAACCTATAGGCTGTGTCTAGACTGGCCACTTTTTCCGGAAAAACTTGCCAACTGTCTACACTGGCCGCTTGAATTTCCGCAAAAGCACTGACGATCTCATGTAAGATTGTCACTGCTTTTGCGGAAATACTATGCTGCTCCTGTTCGGGCAAAAGTCTTTTTCCAAAAAACTTTTGCGCAAAAGGGCCAGTGTAGACAGCAGAGATTTATTTTCCTCAAAAAAGCCCTGATCGCGAAAATGGCGATTGGGACTTTTTTGTGGAAAACTGCGTCTAGATTGGCCACGGACGGTTTTCCGCAAAAAGTGCTTTTGCGGAAAAGTGTCCTGCCAATCTAGACGCGCTTTTCCGAAAATGCTTTTAACGGAAAACTTTTCCGTTAAAAGCATTTCCAGAAAATCATGCCAGTGTAGACATAGCCTTACAGCATTTAAGTATCCCTCTGTGGTGTAGAGTCAGTACCTTGTTGGTTACTATGCTTGGGCTGTAAGGGACCCCCCACTGTTGGCTATCTGTAAGCACGGCCCAGCACTGGGTATCCTGCAGCTGCCAGGATGGTAACAAAACCGGTTATACCAGTTAAGGGAAGAGAGGGACAAAGGACTTGAGAGCGGGGGAGGGTCAGTTGCTGTCTGGGAAGCCTGGAGAGAACAGGCTAAACTGGGGGCTAGGGGTGATGGACCCTAACCCTAGGGCCCTGAGCCATCCTGGCCCTGCCCCCGGTTGACACATCACTATGGACTATGCTGTATTCTGGAAAATCAATAAATCCCTCTCTACTCTACTGGCTGGTGGAGACTGTTCTGGCTGCTATGGGGGTGCAGGATCAGGAAACCCCCAACTCGCCATCACACCCGCACAACATCCTTGGAAGGTAGGTCAGTATTATTAGCCACATTTAATAGATGGGTAAATTGAGGCACATTAAGGGGTAAAGTAACTTGCCTGAGGCCCCTGAGTAAGTCAGAGGCAGAGCCTGGGGTAGAATTCAGGACTTTCCTTTTCCTAATCCCTTGCAATTCTGCCGGACAATGAACTAAAAATACGAAAAAGATCCAAATGCATGTATTGTCATTGCTTTCTAGGCATTACTTCCCACTGATTTCAGTGGGGAGTTTTGCTTAAAAATAAAGTGTCCTTTAAAAATCATTAGTTTGCTGCATATGGAGAGATGAGGAAGTGAGAGGTTTGCTTCTCTTGTTACTGATCTTGCAGTTAGAGCCACACAGGTGAGCCCATGAAGAGAGGAGCACAAAATTTAGGCCCATAAACACAATTTGTGCTTGAATTTACCCAGATGCTGCTATTATGATGGATGGAATCTTTGTTTCAAAGGGAGTTTAAATTGCCAGAAAACAAATGTTCTTTGCTTTTTTTTAAGCTCAGGAACTTCCTGTACTGGGCCATAAGCAGTTCTGTACCCTTAGTTAACAACACTAAACTGAGAAAAAAAAATATACCTAAACTCTGAGGCTTCCTTGACTTTAGTAACAAACAGCTGATGGGATTCATATCCTGCTGTCTTTCCATAACCCCCACCGAATAGGGATATTCTGGGAGAACTGCAGGATCTTACTTGAAATAAGCAATTGCTTCACTGTGTTGATCTATGTCATAGCATGGAATTGCATTTGTGTTGGATGGCACATGAACTTGATCCTGCAAACACAGAAAAACATTCATAACTTAACTATGTGAGTACCACTCAAGAGAGAGCTCTTGGAGTCAGTGTGGATAGTTTTCTGAAAATACCTACTTAGTGTGCAGCGGCAGTCAAAAAAGCAAATAGAATGTTAGGAATCATTATCAAAAGGTTAGAGAATAAGACAGAGAATATCTTAATGCCTCCATATGAATCCATGGTACGCCCACATCTTGGATACTAGAATGTTAAATATCGGTTAATTGAATAGTCAAGTAACCTCATTAAATCTTATCTGTTAGTTGACTAGCCTATAGTTTTTAGGGGCAGGGCTGGCAGCCAGTGTGCTCTGGCCTCACTTCTGAGAAGCCTTCTGCCACTCTGCACTACTGCCTCTGCCTCAAGGTGCCAGGTGGTAGTTGGTCTGCAAGGGGAGCCAGTTTAAAAAACAGCTCCCCTTGCTGACCAGCAGCTGGTTGCCCTGAGCTGCTGCTTCTGATAAAGAGGCAGCAGCGCCTGTCTAGGGGGTGGGGTCTGAGCTCCCGGACCCAGCATGAGCCGGAACTGAGCCAGGCTGCCTGCCCCCACGGCTCTTAATACATTTTAAATGCAGAGTCACAGCAGGGGTAGGTTCCGGACACATTGCAAGCTAGGATTGAGCCAGGCTGCTGGCCAGCCTGCTAAAAAATTTCCTGGGGAGGGGGGAAGGAAATGTGTGTAGTCTTTCACATTAACCTATAAGTGGTTTTGTTCTGGTTTTACACTCATCTGTGCAAACAAATTAGTGCAAAATGAAGCTAGCAGAAAGGGGAAATTGAGGTCTAAGTGACATTAATAAACCAGATTCATGTCAGCGTGGAACACCCTTCACTTGAGCAGAATTGCATGGGGATGATTTTGCCCTATTAATTGAATAATGATTAGAATGGTCTGTAAGGGGCTGGGCTGTTTGCAAAACGTTGCCTGTTTCCACCCCCAACAGGAGGAGGAGGCAGGTTTTGACCTGCAAACTGACCCCCTCCGAATCATGTTTCACGTGCTGAATGTGCGAATTCGGGGTCAGTGATGCAGAAGACACCAAATAACAACACAGGACAGTTTGCACAATAACCAGTGGAGCTGAGTCCAGAGAGCCCTTGCCCCCTATGTTAGGGGTGGGGACCTCCCTCCTTTCTCCCCTCCCATTGGAGGCGTCCCCAGCGTTTCCACGAGCTGTTCCCCCCCAGCCTATATAAACCCGCGCTGCGCCGCCTCTGAAATCCCTTAGACCTTGGCTGTGTTTTGTGGACGTGGAGTGTACTCCCGGTATCTCCTTTGCAAATGGGCCCTGTGGCCTAGCGTTTACTCCCCTGAGCCTCGCCACCTGTGATCTCAAGCCGTGAGGGTGCTGGGAGCAGTGCTGAAAAGAAACAAGGTAAAACAACGACTCTTCTCCCGCATTAGCTGGGGCTTCAGAGAATGGCTGCGCGAAAGGGAAACTTTGAGCAACTGGTGGGGAGCTGAGCCGGGGATGCCTCCAAGAGGGCGGCCGGGTGTGGGGGGCCCTGTAACTCACACGTGTGTGTGTGTGCGCGCCTGCAGCGTTGTAAAACCGAGCGTTGTGTTGATTTGACAAAAGGGCTGCTTGCTGTGTTTCCTCCGCTGCCAGGTCTGGCTTGTGCGGGGACAGTCTAGCACCAGATAGATTTCCCTTGTAAAGCCTTTTTTGTAAAGCGTTTCTCTTTCATCTGGAAAGGGCGCTCCTCCTTCGTTTGTTTGGCCGTGTACCGAGACACACGGATCTTTCCCCCTCTCCCCCCCACGGTGAAACTGTCGCAGGATTGTCCCCCCCCCCCCCCAACCCACACCCGCCCACTAAGG